CCCCCCCCCCCCCCCCCCCCCCCCCGCCAAGTCCCGACCCAAACTAATCACCCCACATACGTCAATTGCACCTCGTAAGTATAAAGTCAAAAATTTTGACTTTAAAATCAATTATATTTACGAGATGCAATTGACGTAGGTGGAGTGATTAGTTTGGGTCGGGACTTGGCGGGGAGTTGACCGGGGGAGTTAGAGGGAGTAGGAATCATCAATTTTATAGCTCGAATTACTATCCATACCTAGATTTTCACTTTTTGCAATGACCCAAGGACAAATATGGAAAGTCAAAACATTTTTAAATTTTTTTAATTTGCATGTCAAGTTAAAGCGGGAAAGTAATTTTTAGGGAAACTAAAATTTATCCAGTTTTACTAAAAAAACAACTTCAATTAGTAATGAGAGAAAACCATATGTGAGATTCATAAAGCATGCAATCATGTCAATGCAACTATGCAAGGTCAGGCCTGTAGAGTTTCAGGAAGAAACAAAACCAGATTGAATAGGACAAGGAAAGAATTCTGAGCTCATTAATTTGGACAAGAAGAAAATACAACTGTTAATAAGTCTATTAGGCCTCTAGAGAAATTACACACAAATACAAAGAAAATATTACTTTTATATGGATGAAAAATGTACAAAAAAACAAATTATAATAATAATAATAGTGAACATTACAACAAAAGCTAAGCTTCTGCACAAATTATGGAGATCTTTGCTAAATTAGAGCTGTACAGGAGGGGTACAAAGAAAGGGAAAAAAATAGTAGTGTGGCTACTACAAGAAGAACAAAAGGGCACAAGGGACAGCTACACTTGATAATTTTGGTTGGGAGCCATGGTTTTTATCCTAAAGAATGCTACACTCCACTCCGCCTGCTATATAGATGTCATCTGTACTTCACTTCTTTGTGATTATTGTCAAACGTTTGACGATTAAAAACTTCAAAACATGTCTCTGAGATACATGGAGAGAGAGAGAGAGAGACTGCCATTACTGCTTCGGTTCAGCTTGATTTCACCATCCGAAGCTTCCACGTTATCTGCAATATGGACACAAATTGGCATCATCAGTATCTACAACTGAGAGGTTGTCCCAAGCAGCAAGGGAAAATCCAAAAAAACCACATTTTTTAATCCACAACAGAGCTATTTTGCTAAAACGCCAAAATAAGTAGCTTATGACTTGTTAGACTGAAATGAATGTTTCTAATTCCATTTGTCTTTCCTTTCAGAACATTCAGCAGATTTTAACCCAAATAACTCTGGGTTAAGTGAATGTTTCTAATAACAGGCATTTAATCCCTCAATTCTTATAATTGAGATGCAAGTAGTCCCTAGCCTCAAAATCACAGTTTTTGTATTATGGTTTAGACTACGGGCATTCTAGAGAAATATAGAAAGCCACCAGTATGCAATGGTGAAGTGAAATTAGACATGATACTAGTTGTATCTAATTTATGGAATATAACAATTGAAGGATTAAAACCACAAAAGTTCAGACGGGTCCAAAATGATGAAATGTCATACAATTGGGGGGGGGGGCATAGATTACTTTGTCCCAAAATAAAGTTGACACTTAGACTTTACAGAGTTTAATA